CCTCACCTCCCCTTCCCTGTAGCGTGGCCGAGCTCCTCTCCGGTCCGCGACCCGGCGGGACTGACAGGAAGTGCACACTGAGTGTGCACTTCCTGTCATCCGGCCGGGTCGCGGACCGGAGAGGAGCTCGGCCACGCTACAGGGAAGGGGAGGTGAGGCAGTGCGGCAGCCGTCTGAGCGCTCTCTATAGAGCGCTCAGGCGGCTGTGGCATTTAAAGGGCCGGCGATGGGGACGCAGGGCGCCCCCTCCTATATGGCACCCTAGGTGGCTGCCTAGTTTGCCTTATAGGAAACGCCGGCCCTGGGTAGGAGGCACACCAGGAAGGGGAGTGGGAGAGGGGCTGGTTAAGAGGCACATAGGTGAAGATGTTTTTTTGGGGGGGGAAGGCGGAAAAATGCATCTTTGCCTATGTACCCAAAAATCCTTGCACAGGCCCTGATAGAGGTATATATGCTGCCTACAATCCGATGAAAGTGCAGTTCTGTTTCTGTCAGAGGAAGAACTGAGCAGCTGGAAAAACCAAAGTGCACTGTAGACTACAGCAATTATATTGGCGGAGTAGACCTGAAAAAGTATGACCTGGTACAACAAAATTGCAATCTATGATGGAGTTAATTTTCATTCCTGGACTGCCCCAAAATTAACTTCATAGCATACTCAAAGGCAAAATAAAACCAGTAAATCAATCTGGCAAATTTCAATGTGCAAAACTGAAATGGGCAAGCTCTTTATTTGACCCTCTAACTTTCCAAAACACCATTAAAACTGTAAATTGGGGGCGATGTTTTACTCGTGGGACATCACATCATACTAATATGTGTGGCTTATTGGAGAAAAGGCTAACAGTATTACGTTAAAATGTCGTGCAGAATTTAGAAAATGACAACATTCCTTAATTTCTCAAACTTTTTATTCATATTAATTTATGTTTCATATATAAATATTTGATGTGATACGAAATACCGGTTTCTCCTGAACAAAATGATATATAATACATGTGGGTGCACTTAATATGAAAGAGGTGAATTATGATAGAACAGACACATAGCTCAAATTCTGGTATTTGTTTTGTTTTGGTGAGAACTTGTACAATTGCCTCCGTCCTTAAGAGGATAATGTTACTGTTTATAAACTATGCTATTCTATGTACATGTTTATTATTGATATTATATATTTATTTATTTTTACTAAGAACAATAAGGCGTTACTGTAGAATGCAGAGTACCTGTATACAGACAGTTAATATGATGCATGTTATGCGACAATTTCGTGCAGATTAATGCATTTGTTTCCATTTGGTTAATGTTTTAGGTTAATGACCCTTTTGTGACTAATTTCTTGGGGGGGGGGGGTTATGTGCGTGTATAAAAAATTGTTCTCATGCATTTTATTGATGTTGATTTGAAAAATGTATTGATATTGAGGTTACATTGATTATTTGAAAATCAAAGGCATTTCAAAAGTTCTACAACATGAGTTCTGTTTGAGAACCTTCACACACCGAAGCAGACAGATGTCTGATTACTGCTAATAAAAGCTCACAATGAAGATGGAATAACATAGAATTTACTTTGCTTGATGTCTCTAGAAGACAGTAGAGGATTACACATTCAGTAACAGAGAGCTGGTTTGTTAATTGATGCTCATGCAAACTAGTTGGCTTTACATTTGAAGATGTTTCCTTCTGCATTAACAAGCCACAGCAATCCTCTATCATATGAGACATGCTTAAAGGGACCATGCACATCCACCAGAGACCATGAAGTCCCAATTGGGTTTAAAGAAGAGAGTCCTTCTCTGTGGGAAAAAAAGAGAGGAACAATTATTATTCATGGTCATCTTTGTCTAGTCTCCTACAACACATGCATGGAACAGCTTATTATACAGGTGATACTCGAAAAATTAGAATATCATGCAAAAGTTCATTTATTTCAGTAATGCAACGTAAAAGGGGAAACTAATGTATAAGATAGACGCATTACATGCAAAGCAAGATAATTCAAGCCGTGATTTGTCATAAGTGCGATGATGCTCTGCCAGGCCTCTACTGCAACTGTCTTCAGTTCCTGCTTGGGGCATTTTCCCTTCAATTTTGTCTTCATCAAGTGAAATGCATACTCAATCGGATTCAGGTCAGGTGATTGACTTGGCCATTGCATAACATTCCACTTCTTTCCCTTAAAAAAAAACTCTTTGGTTGCTTTTGCTGTATGCTTCGGGTCATTGTCCATCTGTACTGTGAAGCGCCGTCCAATGAGTTCTGAAGCATTTGGCTGAATATGAGCAGATAATATTGCCCGAAACACTTCAGAATTCATCCTGCTGCTTTTGTCAGCAGTCACATCATCAATAAGTACAAGAGAACCAGTTCCATTGGCAGTCATACATGCCCACGCCATGACACTACCACCACCATGCTTCACTGATGAGGTGGTATGCTTTGTGTCACGACAGTGACCCCTTCACACAGAGTGAAACCAAGAGGAAGACGTATACCGGACCTTAGAATGGCCGGACTTGCGTCTGAGAGTAGTCAAAGGAATAGCTAGAGGTCAAGGGAATACAGAAGACGGGCACACGATAATCCAAGCCAAAACAATGGGAAACCAGAGAACAGGATAGTCAGAGTGTAAGCCAAGAGTCAGAAATAAAGAGCGCTAGGGGACTCAAACAAGAACCACACTAGGGCACCTAACAAGTACCAAGGTTGCCTTTTTATAGTGTGGGATCTTTAGCTTTAAAGCCCCCCAAAAGGTCCAAGAGCGTGGCCACGTTTGAATTTTGGCGGCACTATTTTGCGGACGTTGACGCACATGCGCCGCGTCATAAAAATGGGCGTGTTCTGAGCGGACGGCGTCAGAAGGACTGAGCCGTCTCCCAGAAGTATGGGAGGAAAACGCTGTGCTGTGCGGGTCCGGCGGGGAAAGGTAAGTGATTGTTACAGTACCCCCCCCTCGAGAACCGCCAACAGCGGGCAGAACCAGACCCACGTGAACGTCACCTCTCAAAGAAACGAACCAGGCAAGGGGCGTGAACATCAGAGGTATCCGCCCATGAACGTTCCTCGGGACCGTATCCTCTCCAATCTAGGAGATACTGCAATTTACCCCTGGAAATACGGGAATCTAATATAGACTTAACTTCGTATTCATTCTGATCTTCTATGAGTGCGTCAGGAGGATTCGAGGTATTTTGAGTATAATGATTACATATTAAAGGTTTGAGGAGGGAAACATGAAAAGAGTTAGAAATCTTCATGGCATTCGGCAAGCGCATGCTATAACAGACTGGGTTAATGCGTCTGAGTACTTGTAAAGGACCTATGAAACGGGAAACTAATTTCATTGAGGGGACTTTTAATTTTATGTTATGAGTACTCAACCATACTCTGTCACCTGCTATGAATGTAGGAGCAGCTCTACGACGTCTATCCGCATTATTTTTTTTTAATCTAGGACTTCTGAGTCAAAATATGTTTAACCCCTAACCAAGTCTCTCTCATATCGTTGATAGCGCTGTCAAAACTAGGCACTCCAGTAGATGAAAAAGAACTTGGCAGAGTTGTAGGGTTAAAATCATAATTAATAAAAAATGGACTATGTTGAGTAGATTTGTGCACCAGATTATTATGGGCGAATTCAGCCCATGGAAATACCTCCACCCAATCGTACTCAGAAGTAAAAACCGGATATATTGTTCAAGACATTGATTCATCCTTTCTGTAACCCAGTTTGATTGGGGATGGTAAGAAGAAGAAAGGTTAAGATTAATACCTAGTTGGTCACAAAATGCCCTCCAGAGCCGTGAAACGAATTGTGTCCCTCTGTCGGAAGTAATATCTTGAGGTATGCCATGCAAACAAACCACCTCTTTTATAAATAAAGAGGATAGTTCGGAAGAAGAAGGTAATTTGATTAACGGGACCAGATGGGTCATTTTAGAGAATCTGTCGATTATAGTCAATATAACACTATGATTCTTGGAGGGAGGCAGGCCCACTACAAAATCCATGGCAATACTCGACCAGGGTTTATTGGGAATGGGCAATGGCAAGAGGAGACCAAAAGGACGACCTTTCGGTGATTTAGTAGAGGCACAGATCCTACATACAATAATGAACTCATGAACGTCCTTCTTGTATGAAGGCCACCAGAATTGTTTTTCGAGTAAAGATTCAGTTTTGTGAATACCTGGATGCCCTGCCAATTTGGAGTTGTGTACAAGGGATAAGACCTTTTTTCCATAAGCCAAGTGTACGTATAATTTTCCCCGGGGAACTGTTAATGAGGCACGATCCTGGGACTTGTATAGTTCCTCCATTAACCCATAAGAGATTTTGGCATGGACAGTGGCAATTATGTGGTTGGTTGGGATCATGGAGGAAAAATGGGTTACGGGAGATGATAAATGTTCATGTTGATGGGATAAGGCGTCATCCTTAGTGTTCTTTGACCCTGGTCTGTAAGTTACAAAGTAATTGAACCGTGTTAAAAATAAAGACCATCGAATCTACCTGTCTGATATTCTTTTGGCCTCTCCAAAATACGAAAGTTTTTTATGATCCGTAAGGATTTTAATAGGAATAGCTGACCGTTCTAACGGATGGCGTCACTCTTTAAGAGCTGAGATAATAGCCAATAATTCCCTGTCTCCAGTATCATATCTTTTTTCTGTTTCTGTTAATTTCTTAGAAAAAAATCCACAGGGATGCAGCGGTTGATCATCAGAGGGTCATTGAGATAGCACAGCCCCAATACCCGTTTCTGATGCATCCACCTCTAATAGAAAGGGACGTGAGGAATCGGGATTACTCAATACTGGCGCTGAGGAGAAAGCCCTTTTTAATCTCTCAAAAGCTTCCTTGGCCTCGAGACTCCACTCCATGGGATTCCGTCCCTTTTTGGTCATGGCAGTGATAGGGGCAGTGATAGAGGAGAATCCCTTAATAAATTCCCTGTAATAATTAGCAAATCCCAGGAAACGTTGGATGGCTTTGAGTCCAACAGGCAAGGGCCAATGTAGAATAGCTTCTAATTTTTTTCTTTCCATTTGAAATCCAGACCCTGAAATTATATAGCCCAGGAAATGTACTTTGTCCTTATCAAACAGACATTTATCTAACTTACAGTAAAGCCCAGTTTCTAAGATTTTAGAAAGAACCAACCTGACATGAGTATGGTGGTCTTTAATATTGTTGGAGTAGATTAGGATATTGTCTAAATATACTATTCCAAACATCTGTAAATACTCTCTTAAAACATCATTAATGAAGTCTTGAAAGCCTGCTGGGGCATTACATAACCCGAAGGGCATGACCCGATACTCGTAGTGACCATAACGAGTATTAAAAGCGGTCTTCCATTCATGCCCATTCTTAATTCTGACTAAATTGTATGCTCCCCGCAGATCCAAGTTAGTAAATATTTTCACCCCTTTTAATCTGTCGAAAAGTTCTGTAGTCAATGGAATAGGATAAGCGTTATGTATAGTTATTTTGTTTAAACCCTGATAATCAATACAGGGTCTTAAATCCCCCTCCCTTTTGGAAAAAACAAAAAAAACAGCACCACCTGGGGAGGAAGATTTAGTAATAAATCCCTTCCTTAAGTTTTCCTTAAGTTTTCTGTGATGTATTCTTCTAGTACTTTATTCTCGGCCACAGAGAGAGGATAGACTGTGCCTCTAGGAGGCATAGTGCCAGGTAATAAGTCAATGGGACAGTCATATGTCCAATGCAGAGGTAATTTTTCTGCTTCTCGTGGTTCGAAAACAGCTTTAAGATCCAAATATTGTTTGGGTATTTGAGTGGTTAAAGGTTCCATAGTAGGCACATTGTTTAATTGGAGTAATACACTTTCTAAGACAAGTATCACCCCATTTTAAAATCTCTTTTTTCTCCCAGTTTATAGAAGGATTATGTTTAGAGAGCCAGGGAAAGTCAAGGATAACAGGAAAGATGGGAGAAGTGACTTGTTGCAGGATTATAATCTCCCTATACAGGGAACCTACGGACAATACCACTGGATTAGTCTCTTGTGTGATAAAAGGGATTGACAGTGGTCTACCATCTATGGCCTCAATGGCCAAAGGTGTTGATCTATTTTTGAAATGGGAGAGAATATTTCTGACCGAATTTGCGATCAACAAAATTCTCGGCCGCCCCAAAGTCTATCAAGGCAATGGTTGGCACCTTCTTTCCTTCCCATTCAATAACTACTGGTAGAAGAAGCCTATGATCTTTCTTATCATTAAAGGAGGACATACACATTACACCCAAGGCCTTTAGGCCTTAGGTGCGGGTGTTTTCCGGCCGGTTGGGACAGATTGAGCGAGAAAGACCCTTTCTACCACAATATAGGCATAGTCCCTCCCTACGACGGTATTGTCTTTCAGTCTCAGACAAACGCGTAACTCCCAATTGCATAGGTTCTGGGGGAGTGACTGCTGTTGTCTCGGATGAAGGGTAAGTCAATGCCAGGCGTTCCAGCACCCGTCTAGGTCTATCTCTGGTGTTCTGTCTATGTCGGAGGCGCTCATCAATGTGGGCAAGATATGTGATCAATTCTTCCAGCACATTCGGGAAGTCCCTGGTGGCTACCTCATCTAAGAGTTTATCAGAAAGCCCGTTCATGAATACGTCAACAAACGCTTGTTCATTCCATCTAACTTCGGCTGCATGCGTACGGAATTCTGGAGCGTAATCAACAAGAGAACGAGATCCCTGTCTCATACGTAACAAGGTCTTGGCAGCATTAGTCCTCCTCTCTGGGGGATCAAAAGCCCTCCTAAAAGCTGCAACAAATACTGCATAGTTAAATACTATCGGGTTGTCGTTCTCCCATAAGGGATTAGCCCAAACTAACGCCCTATCGATCAACAAGGTGATTATGTAACCAATCTTTGCCCTATCCGTAGGATATGCTCTCGGATGAAGTTTGAAATAAATACTAACTTGGTTTAAGAAACCCCAGCAACCTTTAGGATCTCCCCCATAATGGAGAGGGGAGGTTGCGTGATTGGGAGTACCCACAGCAACCATTTGCATAGGTTGTTCCTGAGGTCGGAGATGGGCAGTACGTGCTAGCAAGGTCTGTGCAGCAATAGTGAACAGGTCCATGCGATGGTCCAGTTCTTCAAACCATTCATCAGGTACCGGCCCAAGAGGGTTAACACCTGCAGTGTCCATGGCCCTAGTGTAATGTCACGACAGTGATCCCTTCACACAGAGTGAAACCCAGAGGAAGACGTATATCAGACCTTAGAATGGCCGGACTTGTGTCTGAGAGTAGTCAAAGGAATAGCCAGAGGTCAAGGGAATACAGAAGACGGGCACACGATAATGCAAGCCAAAACAATGGGAAACCAGAGAACAGGATAGTCAGAGTGTAAGCCAAGAGTCAGATACCAAAAAGAGAATCAGAAATAAAGAGCGCTAGGGGACTCAAACAAGAGCCACACTAGAGCGCCTAACAAGTGCCAAGGTTGCCTTTTTATAGTGTGGGATCTTTAGCTTTAAAGCCACGCCCCCAAAAGGTCCTGGAGCGTGGCCACGTTTGAATTTTGGCGGCACTATTTTGCTGACGTCGGCGCGCATTCCGAGCGGCCGGCGTCAGAAGGACTGAGCCGCCTCCCGGAAGTATGGGAAGAGAACGCAGTTCTGCGCGGGTCCGGCGGGGAAAGGTAAGTGATCGTTACACTTTGGATCATGAGCAATTCCTTTCCTTCTCCATTCTCTTCTCTTCCCATCACTCTGGTACAAGTTGATCTTGATTTCATCTGTACATATGTTGTTCCAGAACTATAAAGGCTTTTTTAGAAGTTGTTTGGCAAACTCTAATCTGGCCTTCCTGTTTTTGAGGCTCACCAATGGTTTACATCTTGTGGTGAACCCTCTGTATTCACTCTGGTGAAGTCTTCTCTTGATTGTTGACTTTGACATACACACACCTACCTCCTGAAGAGTGTTCTTGATCTGGCCAACTGTTGTTAAGGGTGTTTTCTTCACCAGGGAAATAATTCTTCGGTCATCCACCACAGTTGTTTTCCGTGGTCTTCCGGGTCTTTTGGTGTTGCTGAGCTCACTGGTGCGTTCTTTCTTTTTAAGGATGTTCCAGACTGTTGATTTGGCCACACCTAATGTTTTTGCTATCTCTCTGATGGGTTTGTTTTGTTTTTTCAGCCTAATTATGGCTTGCTCTGCAACCTCCTTCTACAAGTCCACCCTCTCCTCTCAACTAGACATCATGGCACCTTGTACATTTAAACGCCGCAGGCCCCCCAACAACAACCCTGGCACACCAAGCTCACTCGATACCTCCAA